GCCGAGATGCTGGACCTTATACCCACACAGCGAGGGCTCCTGCGAGGGAGGAGGGAGGCCAGGTGGTAATCAGAGAACGCTGGGGTTCCATGCCCACATGCCGAGGGCTCCCCGCTCACCGCCCCATGGACCTTAGGAGTCTGCTGGCATCTGGGAGCATTCTGTTTCCCAGGATTTTCCCGCCTGAAGCCTGCAGTGACTCTGCCTCTGACTTGGAGCTCAGAGAGTGAGCTGGGGGTCACACCTGTCCTCCTTATCTGCTGAGCCAGGTGGGCCTGGCCATGGATGGGCATAGAGCCTGCTGACTGCCACGTCCCGTTCCTCGCCAGTAAAGCCAGGCTGGCCTGCAGGAGGCGGGCACTGACCTCGCTTGCACTGTGTCTGCGGAGGTGGATGGACCTGCACTGACCGTCGGCTCTTTGCAGAGCTGGGCGGATCTGCTCTGAAGCAGCACTCCAACACCATAATGTCAGTTCTACTTACAACAGCTAAAGACAGGCTGACAGCATGCCCATTTTCCAGATGAGGAAAACCAAGACCAACAGGTCGAGTGCTCACAATTGCCCAAGTCCTTCACCACCGCTAGTATAACGCTGCCTCCTGGTGTCACCCGCCCTGTTCTTAGACCTGCCACCTCTGGCTAAGGGCTGTCGCTCTTGTCAGTGCAACACTTTCCGAGGGACCAAGATGCTGCTGACTCCTGGACCATCTGGGTCATGACCCTAGGATGATAAGGACCTCCTGGCTGGGTGGTCAGTAGCAGTTCTTCAGGGGACCCCAGGAGTCTGAGGGTGTCATGGCACATGTGCTACAACTACCCAGGGGGTCCCAGCGTCCACTCATGGACGAAGCCAATGGAGTCTGGGAGCTGAGGCCAAGCACTGACCGGCTGTGTGGGCCTTGGTCCAGCAGGGGGTCTCTCTGAACCAGTCTTGTGCCCTGTGAAGACCTTGCTGTGAGCCCCCAGGCCTACCCCATCTGTGGGAAGGTGAGGTACACAGCCCCTAGATGCCTCAGTGCCCATCACTGCTGACGGTGGAAGGGTGAGGGTGGGAGGAGGTGAGGGTGAGGGGTCAGGGTGAAAGGGGCCTGGCCACAAGCTCCCCGACTCCGCACAGCCTGTGTCCTCATCTCTGAAGGGGCGCTCCCATTCCCCTCTCCCCCAGGAGGCCTCACCTGTCAGCGAGTAGATGAGGCAGCAGGCCAGCAGGGACAGTGTGGAGACCAGGGCCCAGTGGGCGAGGCGCTGATCACGCATGCTGCAGTAGATGGAGACCGCGGCCTCGTGACACTGGGGGGAGAGCACAGGGCGCAGGCTGGACGCTGGGCGTGGGGGGGCGGCTCAGCACAGCCCGGGGACTGCCCGTGTCTTCCAGGTGGGAAGCACAGAGGAGGGCCCATCACAGGACGTGCTCTGGCCCCACCCTTCCTCAGGTAGGGTGCCTGGTAGAAGGTGAGCAGCACCCCAGCCTGTTCCCCTTAGATGCCATCACACCTCCCGACTCAGTTACAGCAGCCCCAGGGGATATGCCGGCCTGCTGCCACTAAGAAGGCAGAGGGATGGCTGCCCTGGGGCGGGGCAGTGAGCTGGACAGGGCCCAGGGAGGCTGGGGGGCGGGGCGAAACACAGCCCTAGGTCCCAACTAGTGATGTCACCTTGGAGCACAAATACCTCCGTGTGCAACTTTACCATGATAGAAGTCCTTGCAATGCAAAGCCTCCGTAACCCATACTGAAATCTTACCCTTTGCAGAGTATCATGGTATCCCCATCTGCTTCAAATGCAATATGAACACACATATACACAAAACCATGTAAGCAAAATCTTGCTGAAGCTTATTAAAAAACAGCTAGAACAGTACAGCAACAGGGAACTGCCAGAAATTGAAGCCAGAATTAGAAGGGGCCATGGCACCAGAGATATTACTGATGTTAGATAAATCCTACCGGAAAGCAGAGAATACCAAAAGATACCTGTCTGTGTTTTACTGATATGCCAAAACGTCTGACTGTGTGGATCACAACAAATTATGGCCGATACTGAGAAGAAGCGAAATCCCAGCGCACTTGATTGTGCTCACGCAAAACCTAGGCCAAGACCACGCAGCTGCTGTCTGGCTGGAACAAGGGAACACCGCATCGCCCCCTTACCTGGGGTATGCGCTGGTCACACGGACGCTACAGCACCGGCTGGCAGAAAGGTTGGTGGCTGGACGCCACCAGCTGCTCTGCAGGAGAGATGAGAGGCTCTGCCTCCCTCAAGCCTTCTGGTCTTGTAAGCCCTGCTCTGTTCTGCAGAAATGCCTGGACAGCAGAGCTCTGCTGGGCTTTCAGTCATGCCCGGATCCCAACAAGGCCGGGTGGTGCAGGGGTTAAGTGTTTGAGAGATGGAAGATGTCAAGTCACTCACTGGCTCTGCATAAGGCAGGCCTGGCAATTGGGGTCAGGCTCGTTTACAGCCAGGTAACCCCCGCGGCTCCACTCTGCCGTCCGAGGGTGCCCCACAACAACGGGCCTTGTTCCGAAAGGGAGCCTGGTGTGCAGGTCCCACCAAGACTCACGGGCTGGGAGTGCTAAGGGCTCCTGGGGGCTCAGGGGACTCCCAGCCCACCTCTGCTCATACCCCACACTGACAGACACTAGACTCCCAGCTCACCTCTGTCCGACCACTCTCCAGGCCCCCCGGGGGTGAGGCCAGGCCCCCTCAATCCCCAGGCTCTGAGCACCTGTCCTCGGGCACAGTCAGGTGGATGCCAGGGCAGAGCACGTGACAGCGGGAGAGCAGACATGACCCCAGTGTCCACTCATGGAGGAATGGACACACAGCATGGTTTGGACACCCAGAGGGCTCGGGCACGAGGGTGAGGTCCTGGGGACTGAACACGATGGCCCTTGACCATGCCAGGCTGAGCATACACACAGTGGTCCCGTTTATACGGAATAGCCGCCCGCTGCCGTCCAGCCCAGCTTGACCCACGCGAGCCTGGAGGACCAAGCAGCATCGCCCCGGACTGTTTCTGAGCCGGTCATCCTCACAGACACGGCCTCATCTGTCCCGTGGAGTGGTTGGTGGGTTCGAACTGCTGACCTTTTGGTCAGTAGCCAAATTCGTAGATTAGGCAAAACCACAGGAGCAGAAGGAAACCTGTGGCTGCCCGGGGATGGGTGGCTCTGGGGGGATGGCTAAGGCATGCAGGGCTTCTGTTTGAGGGTGATGAGAACACTGTAATATTGATTGTGATGATTCTACACAACTCTAATTGTTAAAACTATTCAGTCAGTCACTAAGCACATGCCAGCTGTGGATCCGAGGGGGGCTGGGGGTGGGGAGGGCGCCCCATTCCCCCCACCCTACTTCCTACCATCTTCACCTGCATCTGTTCACCACCCTATCCCCCGTGTAGGGCCAGGGGCCCTAGGAGTTAGTACACAGTGCCCCCCGCCCCTCCCTTCACATCACCCCCTACTCTCCACCACAGCATCTGTGTCCTTGGAAACCACAGCCTAGGCCTTGGTTGCCAGGAGAAACGGCGGAGGGAGGGGGGCTGAGGCAAAGGTAAGGGGTGGCCCCTTAGTCAAGGGAGCTCAGAGCAGCCCCCCAGCCAGACAGCATCACTCAGGAGGGAGAAGAGTAGCTCTGCAAAACCCGAACAGCTGACAGAAATCACAGCTTGGGATCTTTCAAAATATTGGGTGTGGGAGGAGGGATGCAGGGAACTCCAGCCAGGCACGCTAAGCCCCGAAGCGATGTAGCAAGTGATTTCTGAGGAGGAGAAATGGAGACATTTCAGGATCAGAGGAGAAAAAAGGGTTGTCAAGGAAAACAGGAGACGGTGAGCTGAGCAGACCCGGAGCGGAGAGGGCTGACGGCAGGGAGGATGTGGGCCTGTGTGCCGAGACGCGGGAACCTGCTCTGTGCTGGGCAGCCAGGCTGTGGGCGGTGTGGGGGCAGCTGTTCGCAGGAGAACCAGACCTCAAAATAAACAAGGGGGAGCAGCAGAGTTGAGGGGGCTGCAAACCTCAAGGAGGAGTAACAGGCGGGGGCCGAGTGCAGGCCATTAAACTCACCCTCTTCAGGTGGACCTTCCCTTGTACAACAGACCCCTCCATGTGGCAGACCCCCTGTGCAGGGCACACCCCCTCAGCACAGGATATCCCTCTGCAGAGCAGCTCGCACTGCCATGCTCCTCAGACAAGCCCAGTCTCCATCGTCCACCACCTCCCTCCCCTTCACTGGCGGTTCCTGACAGGCTCCCACCCTCTGAACCTGCCCCTCCACCGAGATGACAGGCCCCTCTGCCACTGCACGCTCCCTCCTCCGTCCTCCTGCTGGCCACCCCTGTGGATCCTGCCCCCGCACACCTGCAGCCCCTCTGGACTGTAAAACCAGGCCCTGTGTGTGACTCAGGGGTGCCCCAGGTCTCCGGGCGACGCTCCTGGAGGATCGTGTAGGGAGGGGTTGAACCCCTACACATGACCCCAGTGCTAGTGACGGCTGTCTATGGGGACGTGGTCCCAGGTTCAGTGGTAACTCACGCCTCCCCGAGCCCACCCCTGGGTATGGAAGCTGTGCATGAGGACAGTTAGGCAGGAGGTGGACACCCTCACACCCCAGGGAGCGGGTGACACAGCCAGGCTTCACCGCACGAGGCTGCATCCTGGTACTAAAATTACCTGGAATCCGAAGCAGATGGTGGGGAAGATGCTGAACATGGATGTCCAGGAGGAAGGGCTGCAAATAGACGGGAACAGGTGTCAGTGAGCAAAGAGTCAAACGCATAACAGCCTCCCACTCAAGAGAGCAAAATCTGAGAGGTGCCAGGCTGTCAGCGTAGCGTGACTGAAGGATACGGCGCCTCCAAACTTCCCAGAGGGTCTCCGGGGATGTGCAGCTTCACAGACGCATCCTCCAACCTCAGAGTGACTGGTGAGTGACAGCAGTCAAGTGCTTTAACCACTGTGTCACCAGAGCCCCCCTTTAACCAAAAACCCAACAGAAACATTGCTGGAATTGACTGCCATGCACATGACCCCGCAGGACGGAGAACTGCCCAAGGAGGCCCATGGCAGACCTCTTCACACAAGCAGGCCGCTTCATCTTTGTCCAACAAAGCAGCTGCTGGGTTAGAAATGCCAACTTGGTTAGCCGACGGATGCTTTAACACCTGTTCCACCTGGGCTCCTTGGAGAGAGAAAGCACACTGCTGGATGCAGCAGGCTCTGCATACATCCTCGCTGACACTGGGCAGGGTGACCTCTCGGCGTGGGGCTGCTCTAGCTCTCTCTCAAGGCCGACCCCTCTAACCTGACTCCCTCTAGCAGGGCCTGGGGCGAAGATAGGCAGAATCTGTCGGCCAGGTCCCCAAGATCGAAAGGACGATCTAAGCTCCTTCTGACTACTCTGGGGGTGGGGGTAAGGGGCAAAAACTTCAGGCCTCTTAGTGGTCCCCATGCCTCCAAAGCTAACACCCAGGAGTCCAGCACCTCCTGGGGGTCGTGCAACACAGGTGAGAGTAAAAGTGAGCCCCTGGCATAGCTCTTTTCTTGTGGTCGGCAAGTGACAGTCCTCCCCATTGAGTGTAGTTTTGCGACTTTTGAAAATGGCTTTTGTATCCATTGCCTTAAGCCCCCTCTGGGGGCATGGTCTCCAGCTGCCTCAACTGCAGACACATCATCAATAACTGTGGAGACAACGTAAGAGAGCAAGCTGACCAGACTGGAGAGACTGTGGCAAGGTGTGGCCTGAGCGAGCCCTGGAGTCAGAGCCAGAGGTAAAGGCTCTGCTTGCCGAGTGACTGAGGAAGAGCTGACTGCTATGAGACAAAGCTTGCTGGACAACTGAGGGAAGCAGTGGCTTCTTCCGTTTGTTTTACTGGACTGGACCTGGACATTCACTTGTTGACTGAGGCACTGTGTGAACTAATTGAGGGATTGTGTCTTGGCTTGGGACTACTGTTTACTAAATCTGGACTTTCGCTGTGTGATAACCCTATGCCTCTCTACAGTATTTCCCTAATAAACCCACAACTGTGAGTTAAGTAACATCTGTGAGTCAATTTGCAGTGGACATTGGACCTAGTGATTTGTACAAGTAGGTGCAGGAGGTGGAGGCCATGTGGGGCCTTGCAGCTATTTGCCTGGTCCTGTGGGTGTTGTTGATGGGGACAGTGCCCCTTTGGAGAGTTAACTGTGGTTGGACTCAGCCATCCCCATGACGCTCTTTCTCCTTTAACAATGAGCACAGGTTGGTCCTCAGAAGGTTGTGTTCCACCTTAGATGGCAAAGGGGATGGGGCAGACTCAAGTGAGATGAAGCTCATATTGTGAGGTGATCGTGGACTGTCCAGGTGAACTCAAGTGTGACCACGTCAAGTCCTGAGAGGAGATCTCTCCTGGATGTGGATGGAGGGAGATCTAAGCATGGACGCAGGATCAGAGAAAGGATGCTTGTTTAGAAGGGGAGAGGGGGCCAAGGTGTGCAGGCTGCATCGAGAGGCTGGAAAAGGCATGGAAATAGATTTCTCCTGGGGTCTCCCTAAACTTCAGGAGGGGCCAGTCCCACCCACACCAGACTTTAACCTGGAACCCAATGGCCTCAGGGAACAGAGAGTAAGTGCAGAGTTTTAAGCCTCTGAATGTCTGTTGCTCTATGACGTGGGGACAGGAACCCCGGCCGCCAGCTCTTGTCTGTGCACCTGTGGTGCCCTGACCAAGCCCACCTTCCTGACCACTGGCTCCACACCCAGGAACCATTTCAACATCCTGTCTGAGGCTCAGGTGAAAATTTGCAAGTCATCCCTGGGCCACCTGCTCATCCTTGTCCATGTCCCCATGTTCAGTCCAGGATCGGACAGGACCAGGACTCCATAGGAGGGAACTCAAGACCCAGTGTCCCCATGTCCAGTCAAGAACAGATCCAGGACTTCCCAAGAGACAGCTCGGCTGTCTTCAAGTCCCAAGGACTCGGTTTTCCAAGGACTCCACTGCTGCCTCCCCCATGTCTCCCCACAATACGGCGATGAGTTGGGCCTTAGACTCACCTCTGTGAAAAGTGGGGCTCCTGAACTAGGCCCGAGGGCCAGCGGTAATAGCGCACCACAATGACCAGGGTCAGGTAGCAGGCGGCCAGGGTGCCTAAGATGCTGGAGACAGAGACAGAGAGAGATGCACACAGACATCACAAACACACACACAGTGTTAGGGGGCAGCCAGGTAAAGGACAAGCATACCATCATCACCCGGGAACGGAGACCACATCAGGCGAGGCCTCGGAGTTGCCCACGGAGGCTGGCACACGGGCTCTGCCCTCACCGAGGACAGGCCTGCGGTGTTCCCAATGGGCCAGGCAGCCGCAACACTGCAGGCCGAGGACGGGCCTGCGGTGTTCCTAGCGGGGCCAGGCCCACAGTGAGGATGACACCCGCTGTACTGGACATCACAGATGCTGCGTTCCTTGCAAACCAAGGTCTGCACAGCCCTGTGGTGAGCCCAACAGCACGTGCTCACTCTGTATCCAGGTCCTCTTCGGTCATCCGCACAGTAAGCACTTCAAACCTTTTCATCTAGTATTGTACACTGAAAAGGAGCTCTGGTGGTCTAGGGGTAAGAAGCTGTGCTGGAAACCCAGAGGCATGTGGTTCGAATCCACCAGCTGCTCCGAGGGAGAAGGTTGGTAACCTCTTCCCACGTGATTTACGGCCTCTGAAAACCCAAGAGAGCTCAGTCATGAGTGGGTTCTCATTTAGGGGCACAGACCAGCACCGCCACAGCACACTGAACAGACTGCAGTAGCATCCACACCGCTTTTCTGTGCTCTGGAAACCCAAAACTCATTTGACTACACTTGCCGTGCTGGGGTCTGAGAAGGAACCTATGTGTCTGCAGGTCACTGGTCAAGAACCTCCATCTCCCCACACGTCCCCCACAGGGTCGCAGATGGTGGCTAAGCCAGGACACCGGCTCAGCCCCGGCCGCAGAGGGAGAGACTGGACCTGACTGGACATGCTCCACGGGCCTCTGCCCGCCATCCTGCGTGCCGCTCCTCAGTGAATGGAACACATTGTGTTCACCACACCTCATGGGAGGGGTGACTCCAGCGGGCTGAGCGGTCCTGCCAGGTGTCACCGAGTGCCAGGTGTCTGTGCCAGAACACACCTGGGACAGTTCAATAGCAGCAGCAGCAGGTGATGACGACAAGCGTCATTTTCCTTGTAGCCCATCTATCCTTCCCACCTGTCCTCTGTACAATTCCTGTCTGACCGTAGTGGTGACGCCCTCCATAAGTCACTCACTGCCATGGAGCCTGACCAGACTCCGTGCTGACCCTCCAAGAGGCTTTCAGAGGCTGTCGGCTGAACGAGAGGCGACTGCCCATCCTCCTCCCGCGGAGCACCTGGGGGATTCAAACCCTGTGCCTCTGGGTTGGCAGCACAGCTCCTTACACTAGGCCACCAGAGCTCCTGGCTAAGACCCAAACCAGGGGCTGTCAAGTCGCCCTCAGCTCTTGGCGCCCACAAGCGTCAGAGGAGAGCTGCACCCACAGGAATCTCAGTGGCTGATTTTTCGGTGGATTGCCAGGCTTTTCTTCTGAGGCACTCTGCTCTGGGGTGGATGAGACCCCCCAGCCCTTTTGTGAGCATGTGACCTGTTAGCCCACCGCACGGCCCAGGACCCCCGGCTCAGCTCTTCTCCGGGTGGGCACCCATGAGTCGCTCGTCAGAAGGGCCTGTGACGCTCCACCTACCTTGTGTATTTCTGGAAGCTGATCTCCCGTGGGGCAGACAGAGGCAGGATGACCAGGGTGCAGAGCAGGGTCAGGGTGAAACGCTGGTCCGTGTACCAGGGCTGTGGGGTCAGCGCACCGGGCAGCAACAAGTCGAACACTGGTGAGGGCAGAGGACCTGCTCACTCCAGGGGCCAGGGTGGGCCTTGATGTTCCCAGCAGAGGATGCTGTCTTCAAGTCGCCCATGCCCAGTGACTCACCCTCCATCTGTCCTCCCCACTCCGACCGCTGGCTTGCCTGTGGAAAGGCCCTGCCCTAACTCCCCACCCAAGACACGCCCACACTGCCCTCCCCATCCCATCTAACTGCCTGTAGTCTCAGTGTGTGAAGTGTCCTGGCCCTGGGCGGCCTCAGCACAGCCTCAGCATCCTTCCTGACACAGCACACCAGCTGGCCAGTGTCTGCACGGGAGCTCAACTCTGCCAGGCCCTGGCAGACAAGGGTGATCGCATGTCCCTTCACCCACCAGAGGTTCCGAGACACCAACCTCGGGGCTTTACAGGTGAGACAGGGCCTCTCCAATGCTGCCGCTCTGTCCCATCAGGTCAAGTTCAACTGCTGCAGCCATTAGGAGCCTTTGTGTCAACTCCAACTCACAGTGACCCGATGAAGCACAGATCTGAACCTTGTCCTGCCCTGCACCAGCCTCAAAATCTCTGACACGCTCGAGCACACTGCTAGCCGGTCCTCGGTCAGTGAGAGGCTTCCTCTCTGTCGCGGACTCTGATATTCCCCGCATGACGTCTTTTTCCAAGAACGGTCCCTCCTGACAACATGTCCAAAGTCTGTGAGGTGGAGTTTCACCGTCCTCACCTGTACTTCCTCCAAGAGAAATGTGTTTGCCTTTTTTGGCAACCGCCATGGGATATTCAGTACTCCTCACCAACTCACAATTCAAAGCCACCAATTCGCCTTCAGTCTTCTTATTCATTAGCCACCTTTCAGATACATAAGAAGCGACTGGAAAGATTACAGCTTGGATCAAATGCATCTTAATCTTTAAACGACACAAAGCTTTGTGGCACCCAGGAGAGGTCCTTGACAGCAGATTTTCCCAATGCAGCAGGTCTTTGACTTCTTAGCTGCTGCTACCATGAGTGCAGACTGTGGATCCGAGTAAAAGGCAATCATTGACTTCCATCTTTTCTCCGTCAGGACGCCGTCTATTGGCCCAGTGGGGAGGATTTTGTCTTCTTGATGTTGAAGACATCATCTTGAATGCTGGAGACTTGGATCTTCTTCAGGAAGTGCTTCCAGTGAGAGGGCTCCTCATGGACAAAGATGGTCACACTTTGTCTTCCATACATTGGGCATGCTGTCAGGAGGGAACAGTCCTTGGGGAAAATATCACCAAAACAGGGGGAAAGGTGAAGGGTCAGAGAAAGAGAGGAAGCCCCTCAAGGAGACAGACACAGTGACTGTACCAACGGACTCGAGAGTATGAGACCATGAAGAATGGAGGATCAAGCAGGTTCAGACGTGCTCTTTACAGGGCTGTTATGAGCTGCAGTCAACTCCACAGCACCTAACAACAACAACTAAGAAGACAGGCAGAACTACCCCAAAGGTGGTCATCTTCACAGGAGCAAACAACCAGATCATTCCCCAGGGATCCTGGGGGTCCTGACCCCCAATCTCTGAGTTAGCAGCTGAATGCTTGTCCACTGAACTATCAGCAACCAGACGCTTTTAGTAAGAATCCCACAGCCTTTCCGCTTCGTTTTAAAGGACAGACAGACGAAACAAAGCACAGAGCACCATGGGAGACCTTAATGCAACCATATCAGTAATTTCACTCCAATTTTAAAGTCTAAACACGCCAATTATAAGCTGGAGCTGTCAAAATTAATTAAGAAGGCAAGACCTGACCATATGCTGCCAACACAGAATGCATTTTAATGTCTCAAGGCACAGTGAGGGTCAAAGGAAAAGAACAAAGAGAAAACCAAAATCCAACAACAGACAGGTTATAAGGTGATCCGTAACACTAGGGAGGCAGGCAGTTAAACCAACCAACCACAGCAGAACAAAAGGCAGCATCTGCTCAGGAACAACGTTCAGGAAAGTGAAACGAGAGAAGGATGGATGGAGATCAGCGTCACAGGGAGGCAGTGGGAAGAGTGCTGCTACATCTGGGCAAATGCAGGGATTGTCACAAAACAAAAGGCATATAGATTGTTGAACAGAAAACCCATCTGCACTGTAAACTTTTATTTCAGAAATAATAAAAGGTAAAAATACGGTAAAAAAGAAATCATTTCATATGAGTTGATGCAAATAAGTTAATTTTTATATCCCCTTAAAAAATACCAACCACACACACACAAAAGGCAAAGCCCAAACCTAGACAAGCACAAACCGTAAGGATGGTGACACTGATAGCAGATGATGTTGCTGTCCGGGGCCGCGAATCAGCCCTGATTCACGGCGACGCTGTGAACAGCAGATCTGCACGCTGCCCTGTCCTGTGTCCTCCTCACACCACTTGAGACATTCGGCACATTCCTACGTGCTCCAGTCCGTCCCGCTGAGCACCCTCCTCTCCTCTGCTGACCCTCCACCTTTCCCAAGGACTGGCCCCTCCTCACAACGTGCCCCGAGTCTGTGAGATGAAGCCTGTCTCCTTGTTTTGAAGGGGCAGCCCGGCTGCACCTCCGCCGAGGACCCTGCTCGGCTCTTGGGGCGGGCCCTGGGACGTTCCGGGCTCTTCTCCACAGACGCCGGCCTGAGCCGACCTCTCAGCATGCACGGGAGTGGTGATGGTGACCGTCTCGCGGACACTGAGTTAGTGAACACCTGCGCCCGAGAGGACGCACCAGGTGAGGGTCCCACGAGGCTCCGGCCTTGACATTTTCATCAACTGGTCAACAAACACACCTAATGGGTTTTGGTTTATAGACAGGTCACTTGATAGCATCAGCAGCTCTGAGGGAGGAAGACGAGGTGCGTGGTCCCATGAGGCTTCCAGCACTGGAAACCCTCCAGGGCCACCGTGAGGCAGGACTCAGTGGCAGGACCCAGGCGGGGTCTGGGGTGTTCACACACTGTGCTCCTGACCCGCTCACTGAACTCACACTGAGGCTGTAACCCGTGACTGAATGAAGCCCCTGCAATACGCGTATTCCCCCCACCAGGCCCATCACAGGCTTCTCATGCCCACAAAGACCAGGCAGCCCTTTGGCTCTGTGCTTGGGGTCACCTCAAACGGTGGCATCACCACAAAGCACAGAGAAGGGAAAATCCCAGTGCAAATTGTGCAGCATGAATATTTAAAAAGAAAAAAGTAAATAAAGTTAACAAGGGAAGGGGAAGAGAGGGGTAGGGAGGAATAAGAGCAACAATTAATCAATGAAAAGCCAACTTTTTTGTCAACTTTCATTGAAGTCACAATTGAAAAAAAATCCCAGTGCAAGATAAGGACACCTGTCCAGTCTGATAAAGGGACAGCACCCTCACTCGCCTCAGCCTGTGCGTACGAGGTGAACACAGCACGCTGTACCGGCCTGTCTGTTGATGCCCACCGCAGCCCCTTGGCACTCACGCTTCTCCAGCTGGTCCCCAATCACCCTGAGGAAGGCCACGGAGATCATGAGCAGGTTGAGGATGAAGCAGGCCTCACACAGCTTGCCCAGGCCGGGCCCGCACAGCGCACGCACCACGCCCTGGTAGGTGGGCTGGCCGCTGACCGAGGCTGCGTAGCCCAGGGTGAGCAGCCCAGAGACCAGGAAGACCAAGGAGACCTGTGGGTGAGATGACCAGTCAGAACACGCGGCTGGGGGCCCCCGGTGTCCGGCCAGCCCCCGCTCACCTGAGTCCTGCTGTCTCTGGTTGTGCTTCTGCGACTCTGGGATGCCAACCATCCTGCCCCATTGTATGAATGTGACATCAGACCCCCAACCTCCACCTCCATACCCAGCTGTGTAGGTGGAGAGGCAGGAAGAGGAGCTAGTGGGGGGATGGATTAAAGGGGGCACCCTCCACTCATGGTGGGAGATCTGGGCACAGAGGCCTTTCCTACTGGAGTCCCGGTGGTGCAGTGGTTAAGGTCAGTGTTCAAGCCCACCAGTCGATGGGGCAGTCCTTACTGCCCTACAGGGTATGAGGCTCAGAAATGACAGCATGACAGTGGGGTTTTGTTTTATTTTCACTATTACTCTTCATATATCCACTCTTTCAGCTTACATCTTTCCCCAACATTTCTCACAAAAATTTTCACACTTATAAGAAATGCAAAAGACTTTTTTGGTGAAGAGGTATGCACCCACTACCTGGATAGGACCATGTACAGGCAGACCTGCACCGCCCGTCACCTGATCATCGCAGCACCCAGCACTTATCTACCACTGGAAACCACCTTCTTTGATGACTGGTAGCCTGTATTCAAGGACCATGAGGACAAGACCACATGATCGCACTCAGTCCCAGAGCCAGGCCAGCACAGAGCAGGCACTGCTCTATCCCAGGGACGGTGATCCTGGGAAGTGGTGCTCCCAGACAGACTTAAAGGCCCGTGGCCCATCAACCATTAACGTCCATCAGCTCCACGCAGGCGGTCACTGACCACGGTAACGTGTCAGAGCATGGACTGCAGGCTGCACAGCTCGGCTGGACCCAGGCAGGGTGCACAAGAGAGTGAGGCTGGCCCTTCTCTGCAGGAGGAGGTGCAGCCTCGGGTGTGGACAGGGACGCAGGCCTCACCCCCGAGGCTGTGACGGCCTGCACGTGCGCACACACTGTGTGTTCACGTGTGCCGTGTGCACACACTCAGGTTCTGTGCATGTGTGTGAGGTATACTGTACGGATGGTGCCGGCTCCGTGTGGACATGTGTGTGGACACGTGTACAGGTGTGCCGCGCAGGCACGTGCGTGACGTGTGCACTGTGTGCACATGCTCTGTGCGTCTGCGTGGTGTATGCTGCATGCACGTGCCCGGTGCACGCGTCACCTCTGACGTGCACACGGGGTTTCAGATTCAGCCGAGAAGCTGAGACCAGCAGGCAGAGCAGCACCCGGCGGCCGCCCACACACGACTCCTGGGACGGAATGTCAGATGGAAGTGCTGTCCGCACTGTGCTGGCCCTGCCTGCAGCGCCCACTCTCTGCCTGCTGGACAGTGGGTCGGCCTCCTCCTCGCCAGCAGGAGGAGAAGAAAGCCCGGACGTGGGGGTTACAGTTAGGACCACCTGGAAAGCAGCCCCCGGCCCAGCACTCACCAGCTCCACCAGGAAGGCGGGGAGCAGCCCGCCAGCGTGCTGGAAGGCCCAGGGGAAGTTGAGCAGGCCGGCCCCGAGGGAGGACTTCATCAGGATGAAGACGGCCCCCAGCGACGACAGGCCCAGGGGGGCCACGGCAAGGGGCATCTTCTCTGTGAGGCCCCTGCGCTCTTGGGGTTGCTCCTCCATGGCTACAGGGAACAGAGGGACAGCAGGTGTGTCCTGAGCTGGACAGGCCTCCTTGTGACCTGTCTGCCTCTGCTCCTCTTCGTGTGCCCATGACGACAGCCCCGTAAATCAATGTCCTCCCACCCCAGTCTACAAAAGTATCTTCACGTGGGCCTTTCACTCAACCCTGAGGTTCTCCCCTCACTTCCAAACGTCCTCCCTGCACCCCTTCCCCACCGGCACGCAGGTCCTCACCGTAAGAGGAGGACTTCAGGGTAAGAATCGAGTCAGGATCCCTCTGGGTGGGCCGGCTGCTTCTCTGGGCTCCAGCAGGGAGGGAGAAAGAGGACCACAGCCCTTCCACGTGGAGAACAAGTCATTTGTTCCTAGGGCCTTGAGGGCGCAGATGTCACATACCAACTCCTCCTCGGGGGACAGGGACAACAGGCCGGGCTACCTGACCAAGAGCTCCGAGTTTTAAGACTTCTGGCTGGGCTGGGGCTGACTGAAGTCTTAAGATTCCCTCTCTGCATCCTGGTGGGGCCCCTCCCCGGGGTGGGACTTTCTCCAAAGCCCTCACCCCCGACCCTGCAGCAGTATGGCAGGGAGATCAGAGGGACTGGGGCCTTCCACTGACTCCCAAGGCCACTTTCTCGAGGCTTGTTCTCTGGAGATGCCTTCTGAGGCCCTGGCCTGATGAGGGGGCAGGGGAGAGAGCAGGCTCCTGCTTGGTGCCAACAGGGCGAGTGAGCTCTGCACTTCCTCGTCACAGGCTGCTGCTTCCCACTGCCTGCAGGTCCAATCACATCAAACCACCCAGCCGGTGCCTCAGAGCGACCAGGACAGTGTGGAACTGCCCCACCCCCACGGGGTTTCCAGATGCAGACAGTCCCACCTTCCTCCTGCAGTGTCCCCAAGGGTCCGTCAGTCGAGTGCTCGGCCAGTGGCTCACCCGCACACACACGTGGGGTCACGGGACCCCGGTGGGGCCTGAGTTCCCGGAGCCCTAACGAGCTCTCGGGAGGCGGACCTGCTGACCCACGGACCACACTTTGAGGGGGCATTACTGAAACCACAGCAGCACTCCCCATTGGCAACCTGGTCAGCACAGACGTCTGAATGCCAGGGATGGCCGTATCCCATGAAACGCAGCCTGCAAAGATGGCCGTGCTGTCAATTTGCATTTGGATCTGTTTGTTTCTGAAACAAGGCCAGTGGTTCGAATCCACAAGCTAAGGAAGAAAGATAAGGCTTGTCTGCGTCTGTAAAGATTCAGTCCTGGAGACCCTACAGGGCAGCTGTCCTCCATCCTGCAGGGCAGCTGTGAGTCAGGATTGATGGGCAGCAGTGGTCGCTTGTTAACACTCCCAGACAGGAGCCCAGGTGGCCCAGAAGTGAAGCAACACAGCACTAACAAAAAGACTTCCTCACCGCTCCGAGAGAGAAGACGAGGCCATCTGAGTCCACAGAGATGTGCAGTCTCGGAGACCTGGGGGCATCAGCCCTGAGGGTGGGTACTCGTGGGAACAGGTCTCAGCTCCAGCCTGCATCAGGATCTGTGGAAGGTGTGTGAGACACAGCTCCCCACCCAGCAGGTCAGAGGGCTGAGAACTGGCCTTTGCAAGGAGCAGTCCACAACCCTTAGCCACTGAGAACCATGGTCTCAGGGAAGAGCTCTGAGAACGCAGAGCCCAGAACACTCCTCCTCGGGTCCTCCTCTGCCTGCCAGCCCAGACCGACCCCAGAGGTCTCTTCCTCGCCTGGTCTGAGGCCTCAGCCCTGACACTGGTGACCTCCAGGGCAGACTTGGGAGTGAGACCAGCTCAGCTATGGTGTCAGCGACGTGTCACCTGCTGAAGCTCAGCTTCTCACATCCCGAGAGGATGGAGTTGGAGGGGGGTCAGGAGCTGAGGCACAGTGGCCTCTGTGAGGGTCACTGTGATGGGGCTGCCTAGTGGAGGAGGTGCTGGTACCGTGCCCGACCTACAGGAGGGAAGGGGCTCAGGCAGGACCTATAGCTGACTCACTGGTCACAGCTGGCAGTGACAGACCCTCACAGCAAAGCCTCCCTGCACCCCAGCCCTGCCCGACAGGCCCCCCCAGGCCTCGATAGGAAGCGCTGGCTGTGGAGATGAGGGTGTGAGTGAGCGGTCCGTGGGAGAGTAGACTTCCCACGACAGGTCACAGAGTTTCTGCCACGTGCTCACTTCCTGTGGCTGCGGGGACAGCCTGCCACACACCTACAGGGAGGCACTTCCTCACCGCCTCCAGCTTCCAGGGCTGCTGGTGGTCCTTGGCTTGTGGCTGCATCACTGCCACCTGCCTGTCTCTATGTGACTTGCCCTCTCCTGTCCGCTCCTCTTATAAGAAGGGTACTCGTTATATCTAAGGGAGCTCTGGTGGTCTAGTGGATAAAGAGCTGCACTGCTAACGCAAAGGTATGCGGTTCAAATCCACCAGCAGATCCTGGGGACTGAGATGGACACCCTCCTCCCGTGTGATTTAATTTACTGCCTTTGCACACCCGCTGCAGGGGCAGCTCTGAGTCTGATCCTCCTTGCTGGGAAGGAGCTGTTCTCCTTTAGGCCTGGAATAATCTAAGGCACTCTGGTGGCTCACAGGTTACCTGCCGAATCACTGCAAGGTCAGAGGTTTGAATCCACTCGCTGCTCTGAGGGAGAAAGGCGGGCAGTCTTCTTTATGAGTTACAGCAGAAGGAGGGTTATTCTGACCTGGAAGTGACTCCACAGCAGTGGGTCTGGATAATCAAGGCTGCTTATCCCTGGAGGTCTTTAACTTCACCCCACCTGCAAAAAACTAGCTTTCTCCAACAAGGCCAAGTTCGTAGCTTCTATGCCTCATGTTCTCAGCTATTCATTCAGCAAACACTGAAGGATGGAGTCCCTCCTGTATACTAGGCCAGGGACTCAATGAGGCATCAGACAGACAGAACAACAGCCGTGATGCAGCTTATCCACAGGGGAAAAGGAGGGGACTGGGCCTCCAGGGGAGAGGTTTGTGCCCCAAAGGTGAAGGGAAGGGACAGGCTTCCAGAAGGTGGGAGATGGCACACAAGTGGCCAGGCACAGGCCAGAGCAGCACTCCAGGGAGGGCCCACATGTCCTGGGCCTGTGGTCAGAGGCCCAGATAGCTGAGATGGTCTCCTCGAAAGGTCCCCCTCGCCCTGGGTCTGTAACTGGGCCAGTGAACTTGGTGCACCATTGTTGCTACAGTGAGGCTGTCCTTCAGGTCCACCTTCTCCACGGCCTTCTGTGAACACCGAGGTCATGATGAGGGTGGTGCTGGCCCAGCCTGGAAACAGACAGTAGAGGGGCACACACCTCAGTCCCTCCACACCGGACTTTCCCAGGCAGTCACATGGACACAAGGAGATAAAGTCGGCTGCTGGGGCTTTGGAGTGCCTTCACCTCGGCTTCTTCGGGGGCTGGGGCCTCTGGCCACCCACCAGCAGGCCTCTCATTAGCTGCCCATTAGCACGCATGACTTAGAAATTGACTGGTGGGCTGTGAAATCCCAGGCAGAAAAGGGACCCTGGCCGCTGAGCAGGCTTTGATGTCTGCGCTCTGGGGGCAGCCAGAACTGCGTGACCCTCACTGAGCTGTGGGGAGGCGCCTGCTGGGTCCCATCAAAGGCCTCCAGGGCCACCTCTGCTCAGGCCCAGACTCTAGACTCTGTGGAGCCTTTTGGGGGTGGCTAGGGAGGTGGGGAGGAAGACAAGGGCGGAATGCTACCACTCTGCCTGGCACCCACACCCACGGCTCCCAACCCAACGGGGTGCAGGCAGGGCAGCCCTGAGTCCTCATGAAAGGAGACCCCCGCATCCAACTTGCTAAGAGAGCTCTGCAGATGCTGTGTTTGTTACAAATGGAAGTGGCCACTCTGGGCCCAGCAGGTCTCTCAGCCCCAATTTCCCAGCAGCACGTGCTTCTTCACACTCTCATCCTGCTGTTGACTGCACACAACAGACGGCCGCAGACGTCAGGGCAGCTGTAGTACGTGTTGGGGGAGGAACGGTCCGGTCGACGTGACCTGCCCTCGCAGGACTGTGGTCTGGGCCCCCAGCCGCCTCTCAGGCCAGCTGTAGCTCCTCTTGGTGGGGGTAGTGAATTCAATGAAGCCAGGTCTAACAGTATTCTGTGCACCCAAGACTCAGGCGTCTTCCTCCTCGATCAGCAGTGCCCACTTGGCTGTCCTCTTTGGTCACTTGATCCCCGTTCGTGAAGGCTGGCATCTGCTCAGGCTGATGTGCAATGCCTCCTGTGGGGCCGAGCCTCAGACACAAACAGGCCAGGAAAAAAAGAGACGCAACAGAACTGCATCAGGATGAAACACATCCGGGCTTCACAGGGCAGCCTCGAGGGAGAAACGCTGACCCAGGAGGGGGAGAGGACACTGCACACCACTCACCTGGGAGTTTGAATCTGCAAGAGTCAGACAACAACATCAGTGAAAAGGCAAATCACTCAACACAAAAACTGGTTTAGAAGAGATTATGTCACCACAGGAAGCCGCACGTTGGGAGGATATAAAGGTTCAGGGTCACAATAAACAGAGACACAGGCAGCCAGCCCGTGGGAAGATGAGCAACACGGCTAAGGTGTCGGGGCATCACCGACGCAGCGCGACACGAAACCATCTGGTGGTGGTGTGTGCCGCCGAGTCAGAACCAACTCCGGAGTGACCCTCCGGCACGGCTCACGTGTCAATCACAGGGTAGGGGACTGCCCGTCTTCCCTCGGGGTGGCTGATGGATTCACACCACCCTCTGGCTAGCCAGCATAACCTATTACCACCAGGCCAGCAGGTGCCTTGAGTCCACCAGACACACCAAACGAGTGCTGGGTAGGACGTGGAGAAACCAGGTGGTGCTAGTGGGGAGGGAGAAGGGCGCAGCACTGGGGACGTCTTCCTCACACAGTTAAATGCTGACCATTCGGGTCCACTGCTGGCCAGACACTCCAGAGACATTCCCTCCACAGGGACACTTCTACGCCACTGGCAGCTAGCTGCCCTGTTCCTAACAGCCAGAAAGTGGGAACCGCGCCAATGGCTATCGGCGACTGGGAGGACATGGGCAGCTCCTGGCGACGGGGCCTGTGACCTCGGATGTGAAGTACTGACATGGGCACCAGGCGGAGGCCCAGCCTGACAACGCTGTGCTAAGTGAAAGAAGGCAGACGCAGAGGGCCCCAGGGTATGTGACTCCAGGGTCAGCCGCAGGGGCAGGAGCAGGACACCACCAGCCGCTCCTCAGGAGGAAGACAAGGCTGCCTGAGTCCATACAGACCCCCAGCCCTGGGGAGTGCGGGGTCGTCCTACTCCGTACCTCCAGTCACTGCTGCCACGTCCTGGCAAGTCAGAACCAGCTCACGGGCCCACAGCTGACCCTCCAGAGAGTTTTTAAGGCTGTCAACGGCACCGGAGGAGACAGTCCCTCTCACCATCCGAACCGTGAGCCCTGGAGTTGGCAGCACGGCGCCTCAGCACGAAGCCACAGAAGGCCCTTCCAGAATCAACTCGCAGGCAGGGGTTGGGGGAAAGGAAGGGTGGAGGCGGGAGGCGTCAGACAGGTTCGGGTTTCTTCCGGAGGACACTGGGAGTGTTCTGAGATCCCACGGGCAGACTAACCACCCGCCCTTCCAGCAGAACCCCCCCCACCACGCAGAACGATCGGCGGGACCACTGGGCAGGCCCAATGCAGAGGTGGGAGAGGCGGAGGAAGAGCCAGCCACACCAGGACGTTCAGCTTCATAAAGGTAATGCATATTTATTGAAAACCGTCTTCACCAACAACGGTGAAGTCAAGATCCCGATTACAAAATGTGATGGCGGTCGGTACTTATAAAAATAGCGCCCAGGTCCACGCCTCGCAGGTTGGTGCTGGCTTCCTTCAAGTTCGCCTGCCTGCGCAGCTGGGGTTCACCTTGTGACAACAGTAAAAAAACCGCATTCCGCTGACTGAAAAATAGCTCTGCTTCCAGGAGCGCGAGTCTCTAAAGTGACTTTTCCAACAATAAATATAGCAACCAGCCTCCCCAAACACGTGCTTGGCCGGGCTGGTCCGAGTGTTCAAAAGTGTCCTCCGCTCGGGCCAGAGCCAGGTGGCCTGGGATACGCTCCTGGTCTTTGGTGCTGCTCCGTGGGGCGTCCCCTCCAGCTGACCGCTCAGTCCCTCCAGCTGGGACATGGCTCCACTGGAGAGGCCGAGGGAGCCCAGCCCTGAGAGGAGGGGCGGTGGGCTGGAGGGGACTCCAGCATGCTGCCTGGACACTGACCCCCGCAGGACAGGCCCCGGGTAAAGCTGTGTCCAGCTCTGCCGTCCACCCACACTGCCAAGAAGGCTGGTCGTGGCTCACACAGATGGGGTCTTCGGGGGGTGCACCTGCTGCATGAGCTGGGGGCGCTTCACCCGGGGCTTCCTCCGCTTGGGCCTGCTCTTGGCCTTGTTGATCTGGACCACGAAGAAGGCCAGAACCACCATGGCGCCCAGGAAAGCAAAGACAGGAATGGTCTGGCCCACCTCCTGGTTGTAGCGACCAGGCATGATCCCTGCAAGAGGACAGGCCAGCAGGTGGTGAGCACTCAGAGCCGTGGCCTCCCACCTGGACGTCACCACCGGCTCATCTTGTCGGTGGAGAAGGAGGGGGTGCGGGGCAGGCGGGAAGAGCAGCTGGAACACGTCTGAAAGTCAGCAAGAGCGAAACCCGGGCCTTCGTGGGCTGCATGCAAGGGTGTGCAGGGCTGCAGGCAGGTGAGCACAGGAGGACAGGACAGTGCATGGGGGGGGGCGTCCAGAGGAGAAGGGGACTGGGTGCAGTCTGTGCTGGGGAGGGGTGATGACGGGAGGAAGAGGTAGGGCAAGGCAGGAGGTGGGCAGGGCAGGCCGAGCCCCTCCACACTGGGAAAGCCCTGCACAGGGGAGTCAGAACATAGGAGTGGCTGACAGTTCAGTGTCAGTGTGCCCCTGTCATAGCAACACAGACAGTCCCAGAATGTGCACAGCTTTGGGGATTCCACCCTCATTCCCTGGGGGGCTGGTCAGCTCCAGGACAGAAGCCCCTCAGGACTGTCCCCTCCCTGGAGAAGCCAGGGTTCCCGATAACAGGAGCAGTCCTCGCTCTGCTGGAGCAGCCTGGTTCTCCTCCTCCAGGACCAGGGAAGGTGTTACCTCAGGAGGGGACGTGTCCCTGCACCCCGGGGCAGGGTGGGGGTTGCTGGAGCCGCTCGGGCCACCACTCCCTGCTCGTGGAGACCCACCCCTGGTAGGACAGAGAACCCAAGAGATGGCAGGCATCCCCAGGGTACGGGACACACGTCTGGACTGAAGACTGTTCATAAACTAGTGTGCACATCACTCCACTTCAAAAAGGTTTAGGTGTGACAATTAGTCACAGCAGAAAAAGTTCAAATTTGAGAAGCTAGATTTTTCAAGGGGACGACAACCTTTTGTGGGAAGGGGTCCTGTGAACAAAGCATGGCATGGTCAGAGGGTCCCAAAGCGCAAGGACTCACCCCCAGGAATGTCCCAGGCTCCACTCTCCCCCGGAGACAAGGGCCGGACTTGAGGGCGGTTGGACCGGAAGTTGGGCAGTGCCACCTTGTCCAGGTCAATGGACAGCAACTTTTGATGTTTCCAAAGGTTGCTTCAGGGAAATAGAGAAGACAGACAGGGATTACAGTGGCCTCCCAAGTTCAGCAGCCCCCAGGGGTGCGCCCAGCCAAGTGATGTGCCCTCTGCCTTGGCGTAAAGGTAACTCTGTCACCTGGTCCCCACACAGAAACGTCAGCACCACAGTCACACTCGGGGCTGTGCCATATGGCATCAGGACAGCTCACTGCCCTCTTGTCCTGCCCAGAACTGAAGCTGGAGATGCAGCTGATCAGGGTGAGGTGACTGTGAGGGGCTCACGGGGACAGAAGCAGAGCCACACAGCCACCATGTCCACTTTCTGATTCATTCACATCAATGCCGCCAACAGGACCGCACCATACTGGTGAGCACGGCACAGCATACTGGGCACGCAGGTCACGGTAGTTACCATGGTTCCTGTCCTCGAGGGAACGGCCCCGGGAGGGCTGGACATACACTGTCTGTGGAGGAAGGCACTCTGGTGGCCCGATGGCTGCGTACTCGGCTGGGAGGGGCCTGAGCACGGCAGCGTGCGCTCTGGAGAGAAGGCGAGTGACCTGGCCCATGAAGATGACCACTTCGGAGTGGCCGGCCTGAGTGGCTGAGCAGTGAGACCTGAGCGTGTGGTCTCGCTGCAGGCAGCCCTCAGCTCTGCAAGTTGTCCTGACTGAGAATTGCCTGATGCCAACCCGAGCTGTAACCTGTTACCCTCCCTAATAAACCCCATAAGGGTCAGTATGACTCTGTGTGTTCTGTGAGCTGCTGCAACAATAAGGCTGGTGCTGGAATTGGTACAAAGAAGTGTGAGGGTGTGGGGGGCACTGCAGATGATGATGATGAAGGCAGTCTCCTCTCTGCAGTTAGTGTAAGTCAGATCCGGCCATCCTCATGCTGTCCTTGCTCTTTTGACAGGCACACCTTAGCCTTTAAAGTGACATCCTTGCTCCTTAGCACTTTAAAGAGGTCCCTAGAAAAAGATCTGCCCATACGTTGACTTCCTGACTGCTGTTACCATGGGTGGTGACTGCAAACCTGTGTCAAATGCAATTCCTGACCGTGTAAACGTTTCTCCATCAATCATCAGTCGGTAGAATTTTCTTTTCTTTGTGTGGTGGTGTAATTCACACCACAGGATGCAGTCTTAGAACTTCATCAGTGAGAGCTCTTTTCTGCAAGAAGGTCATGTCATCAGCATGATACTTCTGCAACTGTCCCCAGGTGTCGCCCGAGCAGCAAGGTGAGGACTCTTCACTCGCGGGCCGTACACTTGACAGGGATGTCACTACGGTTGCTCGGGCCTGTCGCAGCTGCTGGCAGGCCTCTCAGTTCTCTGGCTGCTCGGGGCGGTCTGCAACTCCCAAGAGGCATCTCAGTTCTCCTCTGGGGACAGAGCACCCGTCTAGATGTTGGGCTCCGAGAGACATCGCAAGGAGATAAACAGGTGGGTGGAGCCGGGGAGGGGGCTGGGACACTGAGGGAGAGAGGGGCCTTCTAGGAGCCTTGCATGCCTCATCTACGATGTTCAGGTGTTGGAGAGGTCACAGAACGGCAGGAGGCTGGGAGGCGGCCATGTGGATGGAGTCAGAGCTCGGTGCTGGGTCGCTGTATGCAGGCAGTACCCAGGATTGTGTGCTTGGAGCTCCTCTGAAGGCAGTGAGGCCTGCACATCCCTGCTCTCAGCATTCCTCCTGACGCTGTCATTAGGGAGAGTGGCCAGCCCATCTCACGTCACCATGAGAAGCCAAAGCGCTCCATTCCTGCATGTTTACTTCCAGTCTCCCATTACTTCAGCACACAGACCAGCCAGTCAGCACTGGTGCGGGGGCAACGCTGGCAGACGGTCCAGAAAGCCATTTTTCCTGCACAGGGTCTGCCGGGCACTGAGAAGATGCTAATGCTGACCGCTGTCTCTGCCTATCCCAGTATGTCAGCCACTAAGATTCTAAGGAGCAGTTAACAAGTACGCAGTTGCCGACCAAAAAGTCAGAAGTTCAAATCCATCAGCAGCTCTTGGGAAAACTATGAGCTGTCTGCCCTCTAGGGAGTAACAGCGTCAGAAATCCCAAGGGGCCAGCTCCACTCTGTCCTCGGGGTGCCTGTGCGGTGAAGTCCACTCAGGAGCACCAAGAACGCAAGAAGCGAGATTCCACCAGCCAAGCACCATCACCAAGCAGGGCGCCACCAAGGACCAGTTTCAAAGGTCAGAGCCCCAAACCCAGAGGAAACCCACTGCGTGTCTTTCTCCTGCAGAGCCATGGCTGGTTCAGCTTTTTGGGGGGCAGCCCAACACGGAACGCACTCCCCCACCAGGCTGTCTGGGGCTGGTCTCCACCCCACTATGGTGGCGGCCCTCTCCCCGTGACTGAGCACCTGAATGGCAGGGCTGGGACACTCACCTGGGAGCCGTCTCGTTCACGGGCTGTGGCTTGGCCCAGGACAGGTGTGGGCAGGCGGGCAGTGCCCGAGGCTTCGGGTCTCCCAGGTGGGCCTCGAGGACCTTGGAGTAGCGGTGCAGGTGGTTCCCTGCAGCTCCCAAGAGGACAGACACAAGAGGAGCATTACAATTGGGCTGCGAGGCAGCACCTGCCCTCCATCCACAGGGCACCTGGTCCCAGGAGCCAGCTCTCAGGGGTTGCCAGGCGCTCATAGTGTTCTCAAGCCGCAGGGAGTGGACAGAACAGCCCCTTTCTGACAGTCACTGTCCCTGTGGCATGAGGTGGTCAATGCTTACTGACCATCAATAAGGCCATGCTGAGAGCCCCAGACCGCTCCTGGCCAGCCAGCCAACAGCCTGTGAAATGCAGGTTGCATTTCACAAGCTGTCCTTGTTCGTGAGATGCGCAGTGTCCAATACTGTGGCCCTGGGCGGCACGTGACCACCGAGCACAAAGGATGGGACAGTGTGCTTGTGTCTCTGCAGGCCTGTTGGTCAGTGCACTGGGAACCAGAACTCCGGGTCACCCGAGGACAGGCCCAGTCCTGCTCTCTCAGGCCCTGGCCTCCAGAGAGTCGGGCACCCCTGTGACCACTTGGTGACCCTGGCAGTCACTTAGCTTTCTTAACTGGGTTTCTTCATCTGGAAACTGAACCCCTATCAGCCTCCCAGGATTATGTCCAGGACAGAGGGAGCTAATCCAGGGTAAGAACCCAGCCTGGTGCCTGGTACCCAGGAAGTGCGCAAGGAGCCCGAGCTGAGGCCTCCGTGACTGTACCGGTCACTGCGAGAGTGGACATGCCGCACTCGCAGGTGCACAGGAGGTGCAGGAGGGGGGCTGGGGCATCTGGACCATGGTGGTCCCTGCAGATAGCCTTCCTTGCCAGCCTGGTCACAGCCACCGGTCACCCTGCCTGTGGTCACTGAGGGATAAGCCAATGGTACACATTTCCTGGCTCCACATGCTGGTGTCTACTTAGGCTGGATGAGTTCTCTCCAAGAGCCCAGTCCCAGCCACTCACCTTCCATCCTCTCCGGGGTGACGGTGCCCACTCCACTTGGTGGCCGCTGTCTGTTTCCAGAGTGGCTGAGGCTGGGAGGGGTTACCCCGTAGGATGTGAACTGAAGGAGTGCGTCCAGCAGCCAAAAGCAGTCTGTGGAGGCAACGGGTGGTTGCTGAGAGGGGCCTGTCAGGAGGCACCCCAAAGAGCAGAGATGCCCCAGCTCGGAGCTGTAGGCACGGGTGCCCAGGCTGAGCTGGCTCATGGAGCACTCGTCCCCAGGCAGGCTAGTACACCTGGGCCCCAGAACAGTGACAGATGTGACTCGGGCCCACCTGAGGCCCACACTCCAGGCAGTGAACACCACTTCACCCAGTGCTGGCCACTGCAGCCCAGCCTGGATTCTGCGACAATGGGACAGCAGAGAGCAGTCGGGGAAGGCTGTGGGCCGGGGCGGGCTGTGGTGCAGGTGAGGGGGCATCCACACAGACACAGGTGGGAACAGCAGCATCTGCACTGCTATTCAGGGCAGGCCCTCAGGTGGGGAAGCAAGCCTGGCCTCGGGCTCTCCGGCATCACAGGTGTCCAGGCTCTACTCAGAGGGCTGCAGGCCTAACCCTCCAGGTGCCTGAGGACCCGCCCAGGGAGCTGGGCTGGCTGATTGCACGCTCTCCCCACGTGCGGCCAGGTCATCTGCCCAGGTCATGCCGTTACCACACTGGACATGCCGGCTTCCAAGCCAATATCGCAAGAGAAAAGCCCCAACTGCCGGGCACTCATTAAAGGGCACTTCTGGCTACGTGCTCGAAGGCCCACAAGTCCCCAGACACTGCCGAATGAATGTAAGGGGATGGGCAGCTGCCTCGGGATTTTAAATTTTAATGACAGCTCTTACCAGGTGATTGAGAATCTTTCAAAGAAAATCTGTAGAAATAAAATATTAATCTTCTTTCAACTGTCACTTTAGCCCTCACTTTGGATTTTAAGGCCAATCTCCCTCTAAGGATTTACATAAAACGCTGGGAATTTAGTCAACTGCAACTTAAAACGGTGAAGTGGGGAGATGTGAAAAAGATGGGGGGAGGGGAGAGAGGAAGAGGGAGGAAGGGAAGGAGGGGCAGAGTGGGGAGAGAGTGGAGAGGGAGGAGAGAGGGAGGGAGGGAGGGAGGTGAAAGGGAGGGGGAGATGAGGGGGAGAGGAGGGAGGGGAGAGGAGAAGGGAGAGGAGGAGGAGGGGCAGAGCAGGGAGGGAGAGAGGAGGGAGGGGAGAGGGAATCAGAGGCAGACAGAGAGATGGAGAAGGAAGTAGGCAGGAGAGAGAAATAAGGGGGAAGAACAGAAGGAATTGAGAGAGGGAGGGAAAGGAAGAAAAAGGGGGGAGAAAGGAAGGGGAGAGGGAGGCAGGAGGTGGATGAAGAGGGAGGAGCAGGGAGGAGGGAAGGAGAGGGGCTGGAGGAAGGGTGAGAAGGTAGAGGGAGGAGGGAAGATGAGAGAAGAGAGAGGAAGGAAAAATAGGAGGAAGAGGAAGAGAGAGGAGCTGGGGGGAAGGAGAGAAGGTGGAAGGGGAGAAAGTGAGAGGCAGGGAAGAGGGAAGGGGGAAGGGAGGGGAGAAGAGAGAAGGGGAGAAGGGAAGAGTGTGAGAGGGAGGAGGAGGAAGAGAGCAGGGAGGAGTGAGCGCATGGGCAGCCTGCTGAGGCCAATCTCTCCAGCCCCTCTTTGAGGCCCTGAGGCACGAGGACGGTGGTGGTGGTGGTGGTGGTGGTGGTGGTGGTGTGTGTGTCTGTCTGTCTGTCTGTAAAGGTCTGGCCTTTCCACTGCAGGGCTGGAATCTCAGCGCCTCTGGACTTGGGAGGGAGGAGGCAGAATCGAATATGCCAAAATCTTTTCATTTTGCTTTCTACATATGTCCAGGCTTAGACGTGGGTCAAAAACCTCCCAGCAGATGAAGAACTGGGCTGTCCCCGTTTGCTCAGCTCCCTTGGTGAGGGTCTTCTCAGGACGGGGACAAGGCCTTTCCTCACCTTTCTGCCGGTGACTGTCATCCAGGCAGTTAGAGTCTCCGTACAGCACAATTCGGCCACCGCCCTCAGCTGGAGTCTGATAGAGGCCCAGAATGGGGACGTTCTCCACCACCGCCGTCTCCTGCTTCAACACCTCCAACCCTGACGGAACACAGGAGCCGAGAGGGCGGCAAGAGCTGTCAACACGCTCCAGGGTCCCTAACAGGGACGAAGTCACACCACACCTGGCACGCTAGCAAAAGACAAACTTTCAGGATCGGAAAACACTCTCTTCCGTGACATCATCTGGGTTTTAGGAAAGTTCACAATTCCAACCTCTTCCAATTTCAACTGACATGGAGGTACATATTTGTCCAGAAGCCTAATACTGCCTCGTTGCCTTTTTCATAAGAAAAATCAAACAAGTTCTCATCTGCTCTTACTACACTGTGAGTGCTTCACCCCAGAAAAGAGCTCCCCAGGACAAAGCTGTGTGGACAGACACTGGGGTTTCTGGTGTGGTCACAGAGCGCTCAGGGGGCTGTGCTGTTCTTAAGTGCAGTCAAGCTGACTCAGTAACACTGTTTACACAGATGAGACAGGACTATGGAATTCTGATAGGTGTACCACCTGCTGCACACACACACACACACACACACACACACACACACACACACCCCGCACACACGTCCCACAGCAGAGCCTCTGGAGCCCAAATAAATGGCAATTCAGGTTAGAGACTTCAGTGGGGCAGGGGTCACCACGAGTGGGGGCTGAGGGCAGCAACGCTCAGCATCTCTTCCTACAGTCAGAGCATTGTCCCCCAGACAAGAACCAGCAGAGTACCGTGTGGGCATGGTCTACAGGGGGCTGTGCTGCAACCCCGGCACTGAGCCTCCAGGGCGGTTTAAACCAGCAGCTCTGTGGGGGAAAGAGGCATCTCCTCCTGCTCAGTGTCCAGCCACAGGGACCTGCTGGACGGCCGGCAGGGAGTCAGCTCCAACTTGACGGCAATGAAGGCTCTGTTTTAGTGTCTGGCTATCAGAAGGGCTTTGGCCACGTGCTCTGGAGAGTTCCCCTCAGAACCCCGAGAACAGAAGAGACTTCCTTTGGACGGAGGGGAGCCAACAGCGAGATGGCCTTGCTGTGGCTCTGCTCCAGACAATTCTGCACCAAATTCCTACTCTGTGCCCCAAAAGAGCAGGGTTGCTGCTGTCTCAGTGCCACACTCAGGTACAGCCCAGGGGGTAGAGGTCGGGCCTTTCCACTGCAGTGCTGGGACTGCAAACCCTTTTTATTTTTATTTCAAACTCTTTTATGAAAGAAAAAGCAGCCACCACTTTACAGGATTTCTAGGGAATGAATTTTTTATTTCAGGCTGCGATAAAACACAAGCATAATGTATGAATCCTTCTAGCGGTTCTTCCCCCCCTTAGTGAGACATTTATCTCATTTTAAAACTAAATCCTCATTTAATTCTTAGTTTGAAAATTCTCAGTCTCAGCCTCTTAAAGACCTATTTCTATTCTAAGTCTCTGTAATCCTTTAGAGTTCAAATTCTTAATGTTCTTACAGAGAATTCACATGAATATAATCAACTGTTTATTTACCAGTTCACATTAACATAACAACAAGCTTTTCCTGTGCTGTTATGTTACAGAAAACAAAACAAACCCGCAAGAATACTCTATTGTATTTTCAGTGAACACTAAAAATTTACATAACAAATGAGGCTCCCCTATAGCAACCTGTATATAAATTGTTTGGTGACTGGCATTCACTGCATTTTCTACAATGTCTCCTCATTCTCTTTCACCAGGTTTTGGTCACAAAACTATGAAGCTAGAAATCGACAGGAAGAACAGGTGAGAAGAATCCAGTCCGCACAAGAGTCCTGAGCGTCTCCTGGTTGCTCTGCTCCTGGCTCTAGCTTCCCACCTCCCCAACTTCTCATCTCTGCTTCGTTGCTGTTGTTAAGCATCATTGAGCCGAGTACAAATCTCAGCAACCTATGAAGAACAGAGCTGAACCCCACACACACGCGGGCTCACTGCTGCGGTCACTGTCAGTCCACCTCATCGAGGTCTTCCTCTCTTTCACTGACCCCCTGTCCTCCCAAGCATGGCACCTCTTTCCAAGGAAGAGTCTCTCGTAACACGTTCAAGGCCTGTGAGAGGACGTTGTGCCGCTCTCGCCTCCAAGGAGCATTCGGGCTGTACTTTCTTCAAGATTCACCTGTTTGTCCTTTCGGCAGTCAAGGGATCCTGGTACTCGAATGCTCGAAAGCACCAGTTCTTTTGCATCCTTACTCACGGTCTAGCTCTTAGATGCACAGCACTGACTTAAAGGACCATGGCCTGCATCAGGCACACCTTAGTCCTCAAACTGACATCGCTGTTCCTCAGTAATATGGAGAGGTCGCTGGCAGCAGACTTTCCCAAAGCAGTATGTCTCCTGATCTCCTAATACCAAGGGCGCTGATTGTGGATCCTATTAAGATAAAACTGTTGATGATTTCACTCCTCTCTAGCTGTCATGATGTTGATTACTGGTCCTGTGGTGAGGCTTTCTGTCTTCCTGACACTGAGATGCAAGCCATAGTGAAGACTAGACTTCAATCTTCCGTACAAGCAGTTCAAGTCCTCCTCTTTTTTGAAATCAAAGTGGTGTCATGTGCATAAAGCAGGATGTTGATGAGTCCGCTTTCAATCCCTACTCCACATTCTTCATAGAGTTCAGCATCTTAAAAGATTTACTCAGCACAAAAATTGAACAGATATGGAGAAAGGACACAACCCTGACACGCAGCTATCTTGATTTTAAACTAAGCAGTATTCCCTTACTCTGTTCAGACAATAGCTTCCTGGTTTCCCATGAGCACGTTCAAGTGTTTTGGGATTCCCATTCTTCCCACTGCCAGCTACTATTTGTTATGATCCACACAGTCAGAAGCCTCTGCACAGTCACTAAACACAGACAGACATTCTTCTGGGATTCTCTGCTTCCGGCCAGGACATCTGACATCAGCAATGACAGCCCTGCTGCCTCAGCCTCTTCTCCCTCATCTCTGCTTCAGAAAACGACTGCGACCTTCTGGTCTCATGCAGAAGGTTTTTTAGTGGAGCATCTAAATCTTACTTGATTCCTGACTCCCAAGGAAGTGAACCATCGAGTGCCTCATACCACGAGGAGCCCCTGCTCTTACCCTCAGTGGCCCCAGTGCCAACAATGGTGAGATGGTGATTTCAGAATCAATCATGTGCCGGGTGACCAGGGACAACACGGGCACTGAAGTTCCTAACATTAACATGCCCCTCAGAGCACTGACTGATAGGGTCTGGTGACAGAGAAAGACCCCTCACAGGCATGACAGGCTGTGGAGACCCCGATATAGATGGTGTCACAAATAGACAAGCAAGTGAGCCTGACCCTGCTGTCCTCACTAAGACTGTCTGAATTTCCAATTACAGAAACGTCAACCTCAAGACAGGCCTCTTGCTCCAAATACAAAATACCAATTTTCAACAGGAAGAGTGAGTTGTGTAGGGTTTCTTTGTATGGTGGTGAGAATATTCTGGAATCAGGCATAGTGTAGGTTGCATGGCTGTGAGAATGAAAACTGCTGAAGACCATCACAGCATCCGCTCTGGGAGAGTAAATGTTCCCGCTGGTGGATGATACTCAACATGTGTGTTACACAGAGACAAGACCCACCTCAGAGCCCCCGAGTCACATCCTGACCAGACCCACGCTCAGACCCCCAAGCAGCCCCGTGTCACACTGGTCCAAGGCCCACCC